CAGAACAGAAACAGACTCATAGATACAGAGAACTTCTTGTTGCTTACCAGATGGGAGGGGGTTGGGGAGTTGGGTGAAAAAGATGAAGGAATTAAGAAGTACAAATTGGGCCCTGGCCGGTTTGGCTCAGCGGTTAGAGCGTCGGCCTGCGGTCCGGAGAGACCCGGGTTCGGTTCCCGCTAAGGGCATGTACCTCGGTTGCAGTTTGTCCCCGGCCCTGGTGGGTCGTGCGGGTGGCAGCCACTCGATGTGTCCCTTCACGTCGATGTTTCTGTTTCTCTCTCCCTTCCTCTCTCTCTCTCCCACTCTATCTGTACAAAAAAATGGAAAAATATCCTCGGGTGAGGATAAAAAATAAATAAAATAAAATAAAGAAGTACAAATTGGTTATTAGACTGAGAAACCTAAAAAAAGTGAAGGGAGTGAGGGCGGGATGAGTTAAACCAAAGACCTTCTATGCATATATGCAAAACCAATGGACACAGACAATAGTGTAGAGAAGGCAGGAGGGGGGGGAGATTGTGGAGAAGGCGGTCAATGGGAAACCACAGGGGAGACATCTGTAATACATTCAACCATAAAGATAAGGTTTTTGTGTGTGTTTTTTTTTCTTTTTTTAAAGAGCCACTCTATCCCATTTTCTCTGTATAGGTATCTTATTGGTAACTACTGTTGTTCACTGTTGACTGTATGAACCATGGGAGTAGGGAGGAACTGTGTCCCCTTACAGCAGATCCAGGGAACATTATAGATGTTTAGTCAGTATCTGAATGAATACTCGAGTTAAATCTGTAAGGAAGGTGAATTATACTTCTATTAGATAGCTTCTCCAATGTGTTAGCAAAAAAATACAAATTATTCTTAAATCAGTTGAAGACAATAGCACTTTACCTTTGGGCATGAGTGGTAGGTAAATAAATTGTTTCAGCATGTATTAATTCAACTTTTTTCTCCGATGGAAATTTTTAAAACATGAAAACAAGTCCTTTTAAACACTTCAACTGGAAAAACTATCAACTATCACCCCCCCCCCCCCCGTTTTTTAAATATGACTTAGCGGACAAGGGGGAAGAGGAATATTAGTGAGTGGATTTCACTCAGGATTACTGCCAGTTTTCCCAATCTACTCTGACTCTTAAAATATGCTAGCCCAGCCGGTGTGACTCAGTGGTTGAGTGTCAACCCCATGCACTAAGAGGTCATTGGTTTGATTCCTGGTCAGGACACATGCCCAGGTTGTGGGCCTGATCCCCAGTGGGGGTCATGCAGGAGGTGGCCAGTCGATGTTCTCTCTCATCGATGTTTCTATCTCTCCCTCTCCCCATTCCTGTCTCTAAAAAAAAAATCAGTAAAAAAAAATTTTTTTTTTTAAAATATCATGCTGTTGCCTTTTAAGGATAAACGAACTATACTTATTTTTCTCTTAGTACTACATTAGCTCCATCTGCTCTATCTGGTGGCCTCATACTTGATAAGGTCTTTGGAGAAACAGCACCATCTGCTGGGCAAAGGCTGCTGTGTACCAGACCAGTGGCTCTCAACCTTTCTTCGTGCAACTCTAAACTGGACACTAGTTAAGCTTAGCAACTAAGGCCAGCCTTCCAGAAGGCCAAACAGAAAGTTCTGCTACTCCAGACCTGCTAATAAAATTAGAGGAGCCAACCTGGCCAGTTTTTCTCAGTGGTTAGAGTATGGGCCCTTGGATTGTAGGGTCACAAGTTTGATTTCCAGCCAAGGGCACATATCAGGGTTGTTGGTGCAGGAGGCAATCAATCGGTGTCCCTCTCACATCAATGTTTCTCTTTTTCTCCCTCCCTTCCAACTCTATCAACAAAAAACAATGGAAAATACCCTCACCAAAATATCCTCAGGTGAGGATTAACAAATAAATAAAACCATCAACAAAACAAAACAAAAAAGACATTAGAGAAACCACTGCCTGAGGCTTTTCTTCTAGGAAACCAACTTGGGTTTTGACTCAAGATTAGAAATCAGTGCCACTGTGGGAAAGAGCACAACTGAGGTAGATCTGGGTTAACAGAGAAATGAAAGGGGCAACAACTTCAAGAGGCCCTTGTTCCCTGTATGGTCTGCAAACAGGTTGCTTAGAAAACATAGTGCCTTTGTTCTCTTTTTGGAAATTCCAGAGGTGAGAGTTTTCCTCCTTCCCTAAGGACCACAAATTGATCTGGATTACCACCTAGCTCACTAACCACTTTCTAGGTATTTTTCTTCTTTCATGACCAGCCTCCTTTACAACTCAAGGATCTTCCTAGGACCCTTTCTTATCACATTGTGAATGAGTTTCTTAGGATCTAATAGTCCCCTCACCTTTCCCCTTCCTTTCACACCCCTTTGACAAACTGATTTTGACATTGCAACTTTCTCTTATTTTTAAATCTATTTCTGACCTCAATTACTCAATATGAACTAGTTTTTCTGGTATCCTTTTTATCATGGAAAGCAAAGGCCTGTTGCTTGTAGACTAGATGTTTGTGTCCCCCCCAAATGCACATACTGAAATCTAACCCCAAGGTGATGGATGTGAGAGTGGGGCCCTTCGGAGGCCATGGCGAAGCCCTCGTGAATCGGACTAGTGCCCTTATAAAAAGAAGCCAAGAAAGCGCCTGCATCCCTTCCACCATGTGAGGTTACAAAAAGAACACTGGTCTATGAGGGTTCTCTTCAGGCATTCAAGGTGCCAGCAACCAAACTGTACAGCAATCGAGCTGCCTGCTACACCAGACTCCTGGCGTCTTAGCTGGCGCCCAAGGACTGTGAGGAATGTATCCAGCTACAGCCAACCTTCATCAAGGGTTGTACACGGAGAGCAGCTGCCCTAGAAGCAATGAAGGACTACGCAAAAGCTATGGAGGTTTGCTGGAAGGCACTAGAGCTGGACTCCAAGTGTAAGGAGGCAGCAGATGGTTACCAATGCTGTATGATGGCCCGGTACAACCGGCATGACAGCCCCGGAGATGTGAAGCAACGGGCCATGGCTGACCCTGAGTGGCTGACCCTGAGGCGCAGCAGATAATGACTGACATGGCCATGTGGCTCATCCTGGAACAGATGCAGATGGATCCTCAGGCACTCAGCAAACACTTCAAGAATCCTGTAATAGCGCAGAAAATCCAGAAGCTGATGGATGTGGGTCTGATGGCAATTCGATGATGACTTGCTCATCATCCCCTTCCTTTTGTCCTTGTGTGGAGGAGCTGGGACCCTGGCAAGCAGCACGCAGCAGAAGGAAGAGAAGGGGAAAAGCAAACAACTTATCTCTCTATATTTATACAGACCTATGTGGAAGACACAGAGACTTAAAAGATACAGAGACTTAACTTGTACCCACGTTACTCTACAGCTGCTGACTCCGGGACCTCCCAGCACATGCACGGTCTCTTCTGCTGCACTCAAGTTCCGTCACTGTCCCCTGTCCCCATTCACTGTCTCAGCTACTCTCCCATGGTTGGTTATTTTTTATTTGGGGCAGTGGGCATGTATGGGGAGGGGAGGGTGCTTTCCCAACCTCAGGTCCCAACTGTCTTCACATTGTTAACTCCACATCCCCTTCTCCAATAAAACAAGCTCCCCCCACCAAAAAAATTTGCCAGCAACATGTTCTTGGGCCCAGCCTTCAGAACTGTAAGAAATGAAATGTTGTTTACAAGCCACTCAGTCTGGTATTTTGCTATAGCAGCCTGAATCCACTAAGACACTCTCCACCTCAATTTTCCATTGGCTAGATACTGAGTACTCTTCCTTTCCTTAAATTCCTTTCCAATACAGACCCTGGTGCACACTTTTCTCTCATTTCTTCCTTACTTTTCCAATCATTCCTTATCATTAAGAGATCCCTACCCTGGCTGGTTTGGCTCAGCGATTAGAGCGTCGGCCCGTGGACCAGAGAGTCCCGGGTTCATTTCCCACTAAGGGCACGTACCTCGGTTGCAGTTTGTCCCCGGCCCTGGTTGGGTCGTGTGGGTGGCAGCCACTCGATGTGTCCCTTTCACGTCGACGTTTCTCTCTCTCTTCCTCTCTATTTGAAAATGCAAAAATGTTCTCGGGTGAGGATAAAAAAAAAAAAAAAGAAAGAAAAAGAGATCCTTTATTCTGTCATCTTTTTTTTTTATCCTCACCCGAGGACCTTTTTTTCATTTTTTGTTCAGATAGAATGAGAGGAAGAGAGAGAGAAACATCGACGTGAAAGGGACACACATCGAGTGGCTGCCACCCGCACGACCCAACCAGGGCCGGGGACAAACGGCAACCGAGGTACGTGCCCTTAGTGGAAAACAAACCCAGGACTCTCTGGTCCACGGGCCAACGCTCTAACCGCTGAGCCAAACCGGCCAGGGCCTGTCATCTTCTTGTAGGCACTTTCAGAAATTGTATCAAGTTCAACCTTTATTATCCTTTGTGGTTTTACCATCATTTACAACTCACTCCCATTTCTCAAACTTACTTAAATTCATTTCCCTTTTACTACTCTCTGTATTTCCACAGTCCTTAGATTTCTTAGTTACTAGAAGATAGAAATTACCAATATAAAATCTATACCTGTCCTCTCATATTTGCAAGGCTACTTCTTTTTCCTTATTCAAAGTATTAAAGATTATTCCTCCAGGATTCATTAGGTTTTCTTGATTAATTAGGAGAATACTTGCCTCCTTCAAGCATTATCCTATATACCTCAAATATAAGTCTCAAAAATCTAAGAAACCCCACTCAGATCCTGAATGTTTACTATTCAAATGAACTCACCAATGAGGTTAGCCATATATGTATACATAAGTCAAGTAATAGTGATTTTTCCGATGCCATTCCATTAAAATACACACGATTAAGGCAAAAAATAAAATAAAATTCTTATTTTTCTAAATCTCTACAGTTTCTCTTTTGATTATGGAAGTTATATGGTGTAGTTCAGGGACTTACATAAAACTGAGTAAATAAAAAAATGTTTTTTATTAATCACATGAAATTAACATGACATCCCATTAAGATTGAACCAGGATAAATGATATTATAAAATTTACATTTCTCACATCCATTTCGAGGAAAATAGTACATAGCAGGGCTCCTGTAGGTCTTATAAACTGATTTCAGTAAACGTTTTTTACTAGTAAACATCATTAACATATATTCTCAAACTGTGCGAAGGAGGAGTTAGAAAGGCATCTATAAAATCTACAGTGATAACACTGGCAGGACTAGAACTGTTTTGTTGGGAATGTTAAGAACCACGTTTCTGTGTTACCTGTTGTTACATCAGTGCACCTCTTCCACTGATAAGGCAACTTGCCTGCAGAGGGTGCCACAATGATTAGCAAGTTTAAGTAAGAGATGTTTGATCAGGACTCAAATAAGCTTCCTTTCCCAATTTTGTCTCTTTTAGAGCAGAAATAAATAACTTTGTCTTTTGTAGGTAAGAACACTAATATTTTGAAATTCAGCTGCTGTAATCTAACTCATAATTAAAAGGAGGATGAATTATTATTAGGAATAATACTTTGAAATACTTAGTTTTTAAAATACTAAGGCTTCTGAATAACTTCTCAAACCTATCTTTCCATTTTGGTACATACTTGCTAAACAGAACACACTAGATCTGTACTGTAGTCATTTCTTCTATCAACTACATTGTGCCCTCAATAAGGATGAGAGCTGTGGTTTCAAACAATTTCTACATAAAAAACATCTTTAGTTTCCTTTTCACTGAACTGAGATGTGCCCCCAATTTCTGTGCCCGTGAAAGATAATTTGAACACGCATATAAACTTGCATACACACGTGTGCTTATATGTATATTTAAAGGAAGTTACTTTTCCCACTAGAATAAAACTAGACTACAGGACAACTCTGTGAAGACAGTTTGGTCTTCCTTAGAAACCCTCCTCTAGGTCGAGGAAGGCAGGTACAGTTCGCTGAAGGAGGTGATGAGGCTGAAGTAAGTCTTCTCGTCATCTGTCAGTCCTGCATTACCAGGTCTCACCACCACAGCGACGTGCACATCTGCTTCTTCAGCAGCACTGGCCTCTGTGAAAATCAAAATATATGTCAGAAATGTCAAAATGTGATCTTTGAGATTTGCTTCAAAGTAATAAGGGGGATTGTGGGACTGTAAGAAACAAGTTTGGCCCTGATCTGATACTTGCTGAAGCTAGATGGGCACATAGGTATTGACTATATTAATCTTTTACATAATTTAAAATGTTTCTGTAATAAAAAAATTAATATATAATTGTACTTGACTGGAACAGCAATGTATGCAGACTTCCGAGCTGTATTAAGTACATATAAGTGCAGGAGAAGGCCATGTTCTGTCCACACCTTTGCTCCATTCCCTCTCATTAGTCCTACAGAGAAATGAGCTGTTTCCCAAAGGGCAGCCTGTCAGGAAAAATACCAATACCAAGTAGATATGGGAGACATGGAATCCTAGGACCTAATCAGACCAAAATACCTGCTCTCACATCGGGAACTCAATCATGTCACAATCCCTGACTAGACTGCACATCTTTTTTGCCTGGCAAATTCCTAGTCTTTGAAATTCAACTAAAGTATCTCATCTTCCAGAAGCACTATTAGAGCATCCTATGTGCTCCTTCGACACCTTTAGCTCTACTGTAACAACATGAGTTGACAGTTATTATCTGTTGTCTCTCTCCTTCCTCAATACAGTGTAATCAGTGACTTCATGGGGATAGAAATAAAAATAGGATTAGTAAAATAAAACTAGGTAAGCTAGATATTGCAGGAAATACCTCTAAAATACCTTGGGTTATATATCACTCCGCTTTGTTTCCATCTGAAAGATAGCAGCTAATATACAAATTTAGCACCTACTAGGTACGAGGTACTGTTTGTTGTAGGAACAGATAATAAAAGCAAGCTCCGGCCTTCATAGAGCTCCCATTCTCATCTAAATCTTCACAACCCAGAGGTAGTTAGTATTACCACCCCGACTCTACAGATATGGAAATTGAAAGCTAACAAGTGACAGAGTAAAGTTGAAATTTGCTAATCTCACTCTGTGGTCTGTGTTCTAGAACAAGGGTCAGCAAGTTACAGCCTGGCACTTGTTTTGTAAATGTAATTTACCCAAGCTGTTTCCAAAGGTTTTACCATAGGACCTGCCTGTCTTGCATCCTGCTTCTGAGTTTCCTAAAATCTCTCAAACAAGCAACATCTGGTCTCAGCAAGCCCCATACCTCACATTAAGTGGCCCAGGCCTGGCACTAGAAGCAGCCAACCATGGTTCATACCTTGGCTTTGCCTGGCACCTCTAAGCCCAACACAAGAAGCAGCCATTGGCAGATCACTTTGCAGGTTATGCTGAGTGACCTCGGGTAGAATGCAGGCAGAGGCTAACCTTGCCCCAGAGCCAGCACACCCAGTGGACAGCTTCAGACCACATCGAAACACCACCACCCAACCACCTCCACAAGTGACACACTCAATGAGTAGACTCAGTGGGTACCAGAGCCCTGATGAAGTAAGTCTTGCTCTGTGTGGTGGGCCCCTACTCTGCTGATCTTCCAAGGGAGTCAGAAACCAGTGGTCAGTAGGCACAGCCAGTCCTTGAATCTGATCAGCCTGAGTAAATCCCTCCCATTGACGTGCCAACAGCAATCAAGACTCAATTACAACAGAAGGGTGTACAGTCCACACTAGAGGTGCTACTCGAAGGCCCAGCTGGGGTGATCAGGGAGGCTGTGCCACTGGACCCTACAGGACACCTACAATAACAGGCAACTCTACGAGGCCTAGGAGACATAGCAACTCTACCTAAAACATAGAAACAACCACAGGGAAGCAGCCAAAGTGAGGAGACAAAGAAACATGTCCCAAGTGAAAGAATAGAACAAAATTCCAAAAAAAGAATTAAACAAAATGGAGATAAGCAATCAATCAGATGCAGAGTTCAAAACACTGGTTTTAAAGATTCTCAAGGAACTTAGTGAGACCTTCAAAGAAATTATGGAGAACTCCAAGGAACATAGTGAGAACATCAACAACATGAAAAAGGACCAGTCAGAAATGAAGGAGGCACTAACTGAAACAAAGAATAATTTACAGGGAATTAATAGCAGAGTAAGTGAAGCCAAGAAGCAAACCATCAAATTGGAATATAAAGAAGCAAACCAATCAGAACAGCAAAAAGAAAAAATAATCCAAATAAATGAGGACAGTTAAGGAGCCCCTGGGACAACTTCAAGCATACCAACATTTACATCATGGGGATGCCAGAAAGAGAAGACAGAGCAACAAATTGAAAACATTTTTAAAAATATGATGACAGAAAACTTCCTTCACTTGGTGAAGGAAATGAACACACAAGTCCAGGAAGCACAGAGAGTCCCAAACAAGATGAACCCCAAGAGGTCCACACCAAGACACATCATCATCAAAATGCCAAAGGTTAAAGACAAAGAGAGAATCTTAAAAGCAGCCAGAGAAAAGCAGTTAGTTACCTACAAAGAAGTTCCCTTAAGGCTGCCAGCCGATTTCTCAAAAGAAACTTTGCAGGCCAGAAAGGATTAGCAAGAGATATTCAAAGTGCTGAAAAGCAATGACCTACAACCAAGATTACTCTATCTTGCAAAGCTATCATTCAGAACTGATAGACATATAAAGAGTTTCCCAGACAAAAAAAAGCTAAAGAAGTTCATCACTACCAATATTTTATGAAATGTTGAAAGGTCTTCTTGAAGGAGAACAACAAAAACATGAACAATAAAATAGCAATAAACACATATCTATCAACAATTAAATCTACAAACCAAATGAACAAGCAGAACAGAAACAGACTCACAGATACAGAGAACATTTTGCTTGTCAAATGCGAGAGGGCAGGAGGGATGGGTGAAAGAGATGAAGGAATTAAGTACAACTTGGTAGACTGATAAACCTCAAAGGAAAGGGGGAGGGAGGGCGGGATGAATTAAACCAAAGAACTTCTATGCATACATACATAACCAACGGACATAGACAATAGTGTAGGGAAGACAGGAAGGGGCTGGATTCGGGAAAGGGTTCAATGGGGGGAAAAAGGAGGGACATCTGCAATACATTCAACAATAAAGATAAGTTAAAACAAAAAAATGTCAGTTGTTTCTAAACCTTTGGAAAACAGTAGCAGCATCTGAATGGATAAGGGGCAGTGGTGTTGAGAAAAAGTAGTTCCCAAAGAGAGAAGTGGAACAGCTGTGTCTTCCTCTTACACCTTCAAGTGTCTATTTGCTGCTCTTCCTATGAAACGGCTGTCACTTTCCCAAGGCAAAAAGAAAAGTGCTCAACAATTCCCTTCTCAGCAAACTCTGTAGATGCCATTCATTCCAGCAGAAGATGCAGCTGCCTCCTACTCCCCACCAGTTCCCAGCCTGAATGCCTCAGGCACAGCTTTCCTCCTCGGCAATCCAGGATCTCCACCAAGCTGAGCCATCATGATCCACAATCCATGATCAACGATCCACGTGGGACCTGACACTACCTAATGACTGTTCCACAGTCAGCATCTTACCCAGATCACCACAGGGAAAGTTTATTCCTAAGCATGTATTTCCTCTAGTCATATAATATTGAGACAATTGATACTTGTTGACTTAAAACCCTGGACCTCTTTTCTTTCCTCCAAAGGAGAGTCTTTCAGTTCTCTTTTATGCTTAGGTATTATTTGGGACATCACTTAGTCTTCCACTCTGCCTTGGCGATAGAAGTCTGGGCACGTGGTTCCAAAATACAGGATCAGAGATAAACAGACAAGAGCTAGGCAGGCAGCCAGCTGCCTGGCCTTGTCCCAGCTACAGATGGGCCCAGTTCTGGCCCTACTACCTACCGAGTGTGAGGCTGGCAGAAGTCTAGGGGCAGGAATAAAACCTCTTTGTGGAGTACTTGGAGGAAGCCAATTTCATTGTGAGGCCAACTTGGGGATCATCTCTAGTCTGTAAAAAAAATGGAAACAATTTCTGGGACTATAACCTAAGGAAATGACTTAAGGTGAAAAGACCTGAAATTATGGATGTACTATGATGGCAACCAGGCCAAAAAAAAAATGTGGCTAAAAACAAGACTATGAAGAAACTATAAGTGGTCTTAAGACAGGGATTGTAATTTTTTTTTTTCCTTTATTGATTTTAGAGAGAGGAAGGGAAAAGGAGAGATAGAAACATCAATGAGAGAGAACACTGACTGGCTGCCTCCTGCATGCCCTCTTTTGGGGATCAGGCCTGTAACCTAGGCATGTGCTCTGACCTGGGATCGAACTAGGGACCTCTTAGTGCATGGGTCAATGCTCAACTACTGAGCCACACCAGCTAGGCAGGGACTGTAATTATTAATGCTAATGAAAAAATGGGGGATAGGTCGAGGGTCTGGGGAATTACAGAATGCTTGGGACAAGCTGACTTTATGGCGAGCTCCCATCATAAAGCAGATCCCTAATTCTAAGTCTGGGGAAACTTACCATTCAAAATGGTAAGGAGCCCTAGCCAGTGTGGCTCAGGTGGTTGGAACACTGTCCCATCCATGGGAAGGTCGCAGGTTCAATTCCCAGGTCAGGGCATATACCTAGGTTGCAGGTTTGACCCCCCAGTTGGGGTATGTATGGGAGGCAACCAATCAGTATGTCTCTCTCACACTGATGCTTCTCTCTCTCCCCCTTCCTCCTTCTCTAAAATCATTTTTTTAAAATACTAAGGAAATTAAGCCCAGCCAGTGTGGCTCACTGGCTGAGCATCGATCCATGTACCAAGAGGTCGCCGGTTCAATTCCCAGTCAGGGCACATGCCCAAGTTGTGGGCCTGATCCCCAGTGAAGGGCATGCAGGAGTGGCCAATTGATGTTCTTTCTCATCAATGTTTCTCTCTCTCTCTCTCTCCCTCTCTAAAAAAAAAAATCAATAAAAAAAATTTTTTTAAATAAAATAAAATACTAATGAAATTAAATGTAGGACAAACCAAAGATTTTTTTTCTTCCATACTCGCCCGAGGATATGTTTATTGATTTTGAGAGAGAGAGGAAGGAAGGAAGAGAGAGAGAAACATCAATCGGTTGCCTCCCATACACACCCTGACTGGGGATCAAATCCACAACCTTTTGGTGTTTGGGACAATGCTCCAACCAAGCCACCCAGCCAGGGCCAAATCACAGACTTTCATCTCTAACAGCTCCCTTTATGTGAATGAGTCAAGAAAAGCAATTCATAGATTAAACCAGACAAACTCACCAGAACAAGGCCTGTCTCCTTTCATAAGGAGCAAAATGACCATTCCTCACAGAAACTGTTGACGCATCCCTAACCTATGCAGACAATAAAGTGACCTCCCCACCCTACCATCTACACCCCAAGAAACCATTCAAGGAAGAAGGTATACTATAGTTCTGATTCAGCAAAAGGTTTCTATTCAGAAATATGATAGGCAAACACAGTTCCAAGTAGAGGCCAGGTGAAATGCTTGTTGATGGTACACTGAAGTAGCCTGGCTACCTAGTTACACCACAAATCCTGAAGCAGTGTGTCCGTTCATCTGCCTGTCTCCCCTTCAGTGCAGTCAGATATGCAAACTTTCCAAGATGTAGAAAAATGAGATACCAGTTTGCAGAAACTCCTAGACCCTGAAGCCAACCCAAGCGAGGACATGAGGATCAGGGGCTGATTGCCACTAAATACTGTCTATCTTGGTCAAAAATTCCAGTCTAGGTTCACCAAAGTGTGAAATTTAACAAAGGTATTAACAATTACTGAATGTCTACTGTATATCAGGTTAAATTAAGCCTTTTTTTTACCCCCCTTTCTCTGAAAAACATATTATAGCTTCTTGAAGGCATTAGATGATTTGTGCTGGTTAAGATTTGTTTCAGAACCGCGTAGCAAATTAGTCCCTGCTTATCATATACCTACAACTCTTCCCTAACACAACAGATCAAAAGGTCAAGGGTTAGCAGTAAAAAAAAAAAATGCTATCTTTAAACAGGTGAATCATGATGCCTGGGGGACTGAGACAGTCCTAGGGAAGGCAGGGATGAGGCTCCTAGTCACCACTGGGCAGTGTTCACCAATCAAATGACAAGGCAAAATCACTCAAACTACAGAGTTCTCTTTCTTTTTTTGGTTGAATATGTACATGTGATCTCATTGCTTTTAAATATATTTGATGTAGGTCCACTGTGACTTTACTGTCCTCACCTAGCCATGCACCTGCCATCATATTCTTTGCCTGCATGCTCATTCCCACAATGATACCCCTAACTCACGCTTTCTTATTTCCCATTTCACGTGTGTGTGTGTGTGTGTGTGTGTGTCTAGAGGGACTGGTAAGGAACAATGGACAAGGAGTTAAAATGAGAAGAATTAGTCTTTCCAGTGCCACTTTCCTACACACAACCCCCAAGAATGGGTAAATGGAGGAGGCAAGTTGGCTGGCTTACTGCTTCTTTTTATGAACCTTTCATTTTCCAAGGGTTCACACATAAACTTTCTTTAAAGAGGCAATGTGTCTGCAATGCCAGGCTCAGCTCCCATCCTGGAGTAAGAAGTGAGATTACTCACCTAGAGTAACATCTGTCAGAAACAAGATGTTGTTGGTTGAGCACCCAATGCTGCTCGCAATCTTTCGATAACTCTCACTCTCCACTTTGTGTCCAATCTTGGTATCAAAGTGACCATCAACAAGCTGAATAAAGAAAATGGGAAAGACCGATGCTATAAATATACTTGTAACCTGGACTCCTTTGTCTCTCATCCCTTTCCTTGGAATATACGACAATCAGCGATTTCACTCACTCAATATACAACTGAAAAACTATTTAACAGAGAACTCTGGTACATAAAAAATTTTATAGCAATAAACATTTTAAAGGAGAAAACTACCAATTTAACATATATTAAGGTCATTTTACAATCTACTTGCTTTTCTTTCATTAGCATTAATTTTTTTATCCAAAATATTTAAAAATATATATGTTCTACTTTCTACCCTTAAAATACCATTTGTACTCAAACTACTTACTAGAGTACATTTTACTCCTGACGAAAGATTCTGAACATTTCCCTTTGATCCCAGAACGAACAGATTTCTTTAACCCACCTCATTAATAAGCTGTTACTTTATTTTCAAGAAACTTTCATTGTTCTAATTAAAACATTTTGACATTCTACTTAAGAGCTAGCATATATCTTTGCCATCTTAAAAATAATTGGAACGAAATTTGTAACCTGCTAATTTAACCAACAGTGATTAAAATAAGTCCACATTAAGAATCAGCTTTTACATGCCCTGGCCAGATTTGCTCAGTGGTTAGAGCGTCGGCCTGCAGTCCGGAGAGACCCGGGTTCGGTTCCCGCTAAGGGCACGTACTTCGTTTGCAGTTTGACCCCGGCCCTGGTTGGTCGTGCGGGTGGCAGCCACTCGATGTGTCCCTTCACGTTGATGTTTCTCTCTCTCCCTCCCACTCTATCTGTACAAAAAATGGAAAAATATCCTCGGGTGAGGATAAAAAAAAAAAAGAATCAGCTTTTACAATGTGATCTGAATTTTTTCAGAACTCTTCACAAACCAAAAAACAAGCCTAACAATCACTCAAAGATAAATTAGGGTAGTTTTCATATTACGATTTTTTAAAATTTTTAAAAGATTGGTTTTGCATATTTTTTCTCTCAAGTCTGCCTCATTTAGTAACTGGAGAATAAAGTTTTATTATTGAACTCAATGTGTAATTATTATGTCCTGTGTTCATCTTATTTTGTTATACCAGACAGACCAGAAAAGAGGTTTACATATGTATTCAGAGGACAATTGTTACCAATAATTTAAAAACTTTTTGTTTTTCTTTCTCTCCACTACTTCTCTCTGTCAAAATCTTTAAAAAAATTATTACTACTTCACTCGGCTGGTGTGGCTCAGTGATTGAGCATCAACCCATGCACCAAGAGATCACCAGTTCGATTCCCGGTCAGGGCATATGCCCAGGCTGTGGGCCAATCCCTAGTGGTGGACATGCAGGAGGCGGCCAATCGATGTTCTCTCTCATTGATGTTTCTGTCTCTCTCTCTCTCCCTTCCTCAGTCTCTAAAATAAATTTTAAAAAAAGGTAAAAAAAAAAAAAAGGCAGGAAATAATTAAAATGATTATGACAATCTCCAAAGCCAAAGTGTTCTATGTATATAGTAGCTCAATAAATATTTATTTAAAAAAATAATTGGCTACCCTGGCCAGTTTGGCTAAGCAGTTAGTGTGTCGGCCCACAGATCAGAGTCCCGGGTTCAGTTCCTTCTAAGAGCAGGTACCTTGGTTGTGGTTCATCCCCGGCCCTGGCTGAGGTCGTGTGGGTAGCGACCAGTTTTTGTGTGTTTTTTTTTTAATCCTTACCTGAGGACATTTTTCCATTTTTTGTTCAGGTAGAGTGGGAGAAGGAGAGAGAGAGAGAGAGAGAGAGAGAGAGAGAGAGAGAGAGAGAGAAACATCGACATGAAAGGGACACATTGAGTGGCTGCCACCCGCATGACCAACCAGGGCCATGGACAAACTGCAACCGAGGTATGCGCCCTTAGCGGGAACCAAACCCAGGTCTCTTGACCACAGGCTGACGCTCTAACCGCTGAGCCAAACTGGCCAGGGCGGTAGCATCCAGTTGATGTGTCGCTCTCACATCAATGTTTCGCTCTTTCTCTTCCCCTCTCTCTCCCTCCTGTTCTATCTGAAATGCAAAAATGTCCTCGGATGAGGATAAAAAGTAATAAATAATAATAATCATCATAATCATAATAATAATTGGCTGCCCAACTGGTGTGGCTCGGTGGATTAAATGTCATCCCATGGACTGAGAGGTCCAGTTCAATTTCTGGTGAGGGAAGATGCCCGGGTTATGGGCTCAGTCTCCAGTATGGTTATGTAGGAAGGAGCTGATCAATGTTTCTCTCACATCGATGTTTCTCTCACATCGATGTTTCTATCTCTCTCTCACACCCTTCCTCTCTATAAAAATATAAAAAAATAAACATATTTAAAAAAAATAGTTGGCTGAATTACCTACTGTGTATCACTAAGTTCACTGTTACTGAGTTATCATTTCTTTTTGAATCCCTAAATGTAATCTCTTGTTCCAATGACTACCTGTCCTCCAGGGGGCGAAGGGATGGTAAGATGGAGAGGCTAACAAGAATTTCATGCCCTGGCCAGTTTGGCTCAGCGGTTAGAGCGTCAGCCTGCGGTCCAGAGAGACCCGAGTTCGGTTCCTGCTAAGGGCACGTACTTCGGTTGCAGTTTGTCCCCGGCCCTGGTTGGTCGTGCGGGTGGCAGCCACTCGATGTGTTCCTTCACGTCGATGTTTCTCTCTCTCTCTCCTTCCCCTCTCTCCCTCCACTCTATCTGTACAAAAAATGGAAAAATATCCTCGGGTGAGGATAAAAAATAAATAAATAAAAAGAATTTCATGAACAAGAAATTTATAACAGGTGGACTTAACTTATAATTGTTTATAATAATGTACTCAGTTCTCTTACATAAAAATGCTGGTTTGGCTCAACTAAAACCTGTCTCTCTCCAAAGTACCAGAAATAATCAATCCACCTTGCACTCTGCTGCAATCAAGAAATCCATTTTGGCCCTGGCCAGTTTGGCTCAGCGGTTAGAGCATCAGGCTGCAGACCAGAGAGTCCCAGGTTCAGTTTCCACTAAGGGCACGTACCTCGGTTGCAGTTCGTCCCCGCCTCCAGTTGGGGTCGTGTGGGTGGCAACCAGTGTTTCTCTCTTTCTCTTCCTCCCTCTCTCCCTCCCACTCTATCTGAAGATAAATGCAAAAATGTCCTCCGCTGAGGATGAAAAAAAAATCCATTTTGGGTTTTTTTGGATAGTGGCATATGTCACTATTTTACATTTTACCTGCTACTTTAAACAATCAAAAGAAGCATGCCATTAGTTTCCCCTGGGTTGACAATTTCCTAATATTGGCAAGATAGCTAATTTACAAGTTAGTTCAAGTCTTCTTAGCTGTATTTTAGATATGCTTCTAGTATGACCATCATGAGTATCACTTAGGTGAATGTTTAAAAAACGCAAACTCCTTGCCCTGGCTGGTTTTGCTCAGTGGTTAGTGTCGCCCTGCGGTCCAGAGAGACCCAGGGTTGGTTCCCACTAAGGGTGCATACTTCAGTTGCAGTTTGTCCACGGCCCTGGTTGGGTTGTGCAGGTGGCATCCACTTGATATGTCCCTTTCACGTCGATGTTTCTCTCTCTCTCTCTCCCCCTCCCTCCCTCCCTCCCTCTCTATCTGAACAAAATATGGGAAAATGTCCTCGGGTGAGGATTAAAAAAAACACACAAACTCCTGCCCTGGCTGGTTTGGGTCAGTGGTTAGAGTAGGCCCGTGGACCAAGGCGTTGTGGGTTGGATAATGGTCAAGGGCATGTACCTTGGTTGCAGCTCGGTCCCCGGTCCTGGTCAGGGTCGTGTGGGAGGCAATTGGTTGATGTGTCTCTGACATCGATATTTCTATCTTTCTCTCCGTCTCCCTACTTCCTTTCCACCCTCCCACTCTAGCTGAAAATAAATGGAAAAATATCCTCAGGTGAGGATTTAAAAAAATAAAGCAAAAAAAACAAATGCAAACTCCTGACTCCTCACCCCAGGCCTGCCAACTCAGATTTGCTAGGAAGCAGGGCCCAGGGATCTACATTTTAAAAAAATATATTTTTATGGATTTCTGGGAGGGAGAGATAGAAACATCAGTGTTGAGAGAGAAACATTGATCAGCTGCCTCCTGCACACTCCCTACTGGGGATCGACCCCGCAACCTGGGCATGTGCCCTGACCAAGAATAGAACCAGGACCTGTCAGTCCATGGGATGATGCTCAATCCACTCAGCCACACTGGCTGGACAGATGAGCCTTATGCTCAACAAAGTTTAAGAACCTTTGATGCAAAGAATGATCACACAGAAACATTTCATTCTTGCCTATAATGTATTCCACAGATTTTCTATTTCCCTTTACAATGTGCTTAGCATATATAAATGCAATTATCTGAACGCTGATTTAGCTTATTACTGTAGCATATATTCTTTTAACATTTTATTTCATGCTTTGATAGTGTCAAAGAATAAAGTAATCAGGCAACCTACCTCAAGAATATCTCCCTCTGTAGAATGCCCAAATAACAGTTTCTGTGCTTCTACACTCCCTGAAGAATAAATATACACCTTTATTCCAGCTTCTTTCCACTTTCTGACTGCTGGAACTACATCTTCAAAGAACCTAAAGGGAAAACCAAGTTCATATGCAGGAACATATTATCTTGCCTGATGAAAACCAGTCAAAATAGTTGTCACAAGTTTCTCTATTCGTGTCCAAATGGTCGCCATGAGAAGTGACGCCATGAGACTGCATTGCAGATCTAGTAAGAGTGTTCATGGAGTTCAGGATCACAGCAGATCAGAAGCAACAATTTAAGTAGAGAGGAGAAATGGTTTTGACAGCCCCTACTAACAGTCAAAAGTGATTACACATAAAGGGATGAACTACTAAAGTGATTTTTTAAATTCCCAAGGAACTAAGAAAAGCAAAAGCAAACAATAATACTGTACTTTTATGTAATCTCTGATGTAATGCATGACAAGAAAAGGTTAAATTATGTCCAGTGTGCCTTAAGAAAGCATGGGGATGCTTTTAGAAAGATCTGCACCCGAACAAAAGAAGAAATGTTTGATGGCCCAAAGCTATCCATCTTTGATTAGCTAGAAAATGGACCTATATTTCTTGAGAACTAAGAAAACGTCAAGTTTTATTATACAGAAAAAAAAAATCATGTAACAAATCAGATAAGAGACTTGTACCATCTCAGTTGCTGATCAGCAAATAGTGTCTGGATGGCTGATTCCTGACACTGTCTTGTTTACCAAATTCTACGACATATTCAGTGGTGGCAATATCATAGGAGATGGGCGAACAGAGAAACACAAGGAAGTTGGGATGTGGAGCTAGTCATCCTTAAAAGATTAACTGAAAAATGTCAGAGAGATCTTTAAATGGATAAAACAACTTAATATCTTGCACTAATTGAAGAAAAGAGATCCACTAGTTCAAAACCAGCACACATGATTGGGAGTTACTCTGTGTATTTTGCAATCATGGACACAGAATTTTTCCATGTTGAATATGCAGATTGTTACTACTCCAAAGCAGGGCTTAGAAATCTAAGCTTATAAAAACATCCCTGGTTTTATGACCAAGAGAAGGAAGGGCTAAGTACTTTGAGCATAGTCTCCAGGCTCCACTCTTTTGAGTGATGTACAAAGTTATCTATCTGCTATTCCCAGATCATTGGCCTACCTTGAAATTCCAATGCTTCCTTTAAAAGATGGAAGCCCCTTGTAAAGTATATAAAGGAATGACATCTCATTTGCAACAACAAAAAAAGACACACAGGCAACTGGAAATAGTCTTGGATCTTAGGGTTTACATCAGGCAATGGCCTAAAATGCTTAGTGGCAGTGTCTTATTTAGAATTTCTTGAGCTTCTGGTCAAGATGGCGGCGTAGGTAAACGCGGTATCACGTTCTCCCACAACCACATCAAAGTTACAACTAAACTACAGAACAACCATCATTCAAAACCACCTAAAATCGAGCTGAACGGAAGTCCTACAACTACAAAATTAAAGCAGCAGCCACATCGAGACTGGTAGGAGGTGTGGAGGTGCGACAGGCTGGTCCCACACCCACGTGTGGTAGAAAAAAATTAGAAAGAAGGACACCTTTGCTGGGAAGGTCCTCCCTGAGGGGTCCCTGTCTCACACCAGGCGCCCAGCTCAGGGTTCCAGGGCCAGAAAGAGAAGTCCCCATAACTGCTGGCTGGAAAAACCAGCGAAGGTTGAGGGAGCCTGAGGCTACTCCTCTTAAAGGGCCCGTGCAGGGACTTACTCGACTCACACCCTCCAGGATCCAGCACAGGAAAGGAAGCTTGAAAGGCACCAGAGACATATGGGGAAGAATTGAGTTGTTTGGCATTGGAGTGAGGGCTGGAGAGGCAGCTTTATCCTGGACAGACGTGCTGTCAGAGGCCTTTGTTACTTTGGTGAGCCCTTCCCTGGGGCGGCAGGCAGTAGCCTATCTGGGACTCCAGCAACCTGGCTCACACTGTTTGCCCCACCCTGATGATTCCCTGAGGCCCTGCCCCACCCAAATCTCAGGCCCACCCAAACTGTTCCCAGTTGCTTTACCATAGGATTGGCCTGTCTTGGGTCCTGCTTCAGGTTTTCCTAAATTCCTTCAAACAAGCAGCATCTGGTCTCAGCTAGCCCCATACCTCTCACTAAGTAATACACAGAAACAAACAGGGAGGCAGCCAAAATGAGGAGACAAAGAAAACAAGTCCCAAATGAAAGAACAGAACAAAACTACAGGAAAAGAACTAAGCGAAATGGAGATAAGCAACCTAACAGATGCAGAGTTCAAAACATTGCTTATAAGGATGCTCAATGAACTTAGTGAGGGCCTCAAGAGCATAAAAAAGTACCAGTCAGAAATGAAGGAGGCACTAACTGAAATAAAGAATAATTTACACAGAGTCAATAGTAGAGTAGGTAAAGCCAAGAAGCAAACCATTGATTTGGAATATAAGGAGGCAAAAAACACCCAATCAGAACAGCAAAAAGAAAAAGTCCAAAAAAATGAGGATAGTGTAAGGAGCCTCTGGGACAACTTCAAGCATGCCAACATTCGTATCTTGGGGGTGCCAGAAGGAGAAGAGAGAGAATAAGAAATCGAAAACCTATTTGAAACAATAATGGCAGAAAACTTCCCTAACCTGGTGAAGGAAACAAACATATAAGTCCAAGAAGCACAGAGTTCCAAACAAGATGAATCCCAAGAGGCCCACACCAAGACACATCATCATCAAAATGCAAAAGGTTCAAGACAAAGAGAGAATCTTAAAAGCAGCAAGAGAAAAGCAGTTAGTTACCTTACAAGGGAGTTCCCATAAGACTGTCAGCTGATTTCTCAAAAGAAACTTTGCAGGCCAGAAGGGAGTGGCAAGAAATATTCAGAATGATGAAAAGCAAGAACCTACAACCAAGATTACTCTATCCTGCAAAGCTGTCATTTAGAATCAATGGCCATATAGTTTCCCAGACAAGGAAAAGCTAAAGGAGTTCATCATCACCAAACCATTATCATATGAAATGTTGAAGGGTCTTCCTGAAGAAAAAGATAAAAAATATGAACAAACAAAATGGCAATAAATACATATCTATCGACAATTGAATCTACAAACAAAATGAACAAGCAGAACAGAAACATTCTCATAGATACAGAGAAATTTTGTTGGTTGCCAGATGGGAAGGGGGTTGGGGGAATGGGTGAAGGGATTATGAAGTACAAATTGGTTGTTAGACTGACAAACCTCAAAGGGAAAGGGATTGGGGGGTGGGAAGAGATAAACCAAAGAACTTATATGCATAACCAATGGACACAGACAACAGTGTGGTTTGAGATGGGAGTAGGAAGGAGGGGATCAATAGGGGGAAAAGGAGGAACATCTGTAATATATTCAACAATTAAGATAAATTTTAAAAATAAATAAATAAAAGAATTTCTTAGCAACATCACAGTCATGAGTCACCTTCTGAAGGCATGCTCTCAGGAACTCTACAACCAAGACAAAGGGTCTGTGAAACGTGCTCAAAAGAGTGGCACCGTTGACACTTTACCCCCAAAGTGATAGGGTACATAATTTTATAGAGTTCTTACTTCTCTAACACAACAGAAAACAGGTAACCTAATGGTCCTGGGAAGCAGTCAAACAGTGCTGTTACTCTTATGCAAAGAATCAAATATGACTTAGTTCAAGAAAGTCACCATTTTCTGGGACACAGTTTTAAAACTGGATTAAAAGTCTTTCAACCATCCCACAAAACCAAACATCAGGTTTGGGAAATTGAGCTGGGTGAAATGCTTTATCTCAGCTTTAAAAAGCAAAATACTCACTTGTTAGAATAATAAGAAGGTTGATTTTTCTATTTTACTAATCATGCAACACTGGAGAGAGAGCACTAGTGAAAAATGCATTTGGTTTTGAGGCTGGTAATATATTCAGAGTCACGTGAGCAGCTACATACTCTGCTTTCACGCGCCCCGCTGTGAATGCTGCCCTCCACATGTGGCCCTGCAGCTGTTTCAGCGCTGTGGTCTTTCGGTCCAGAGACATCTGCCAGCACACATTATCTACCACGGCCTGGATCATCTGTTGCAGGTCATCTGCCCCATTCTCAGATGCAGCAGGGATTGGAACAGCCCCATCCAGGTGGGAGTCCTCTTCAGCCTTCAAGTCATAAACAAATGAAGTTTGTTTCTTACTTATGTGAAAAAAGAGTCCTTAAAATGAGACCTGAAAAGCAAACTGACCAACTTTCTCTGACTGTCATTGGCACCAAGCACTGTTACAAATTAAAAGTAACCTACACATTGGGGCTGATCTGAATGATTCCTAAAAGAAATAGATTCTAATTAATAATTTACATTACCATTCCAATGTTGTTAAAGCTGAAACATAAATTGAGGCATGTATGTGAGAAAAGAGGTGGCACATGATAAAATGACATAGCAAGACCTGGTTTGTTGCTTCACTTATTAGGATCAACAAACCAGGACTTCAATTAAATCTGATCATTTTCTCCACATTATAACTGTGGAAAGAAACAAAGAAAATCTTTAAAATTAGTTCATGCCTGGAACTCAATGAAAAGAAGCTAGTGAAGTAATGGTTCACATTCAGCCTCCTGCTATCTCTCACATCTTACAAAAACTCTAACAGCTATTTGTAATAATGACAATGTGACAATGCCTATGTCCAACCTCTAAGACTCAATGATATATATATCTGACAGCGAGGGACTATGCATGTTTCAATAAGAGTTGAGACCACAAAAAAAGTAGGGGAGGGGAGTGTTTCAGACCAACCATTAGTTATTGAGAAACTCCAACAATCCCAAATACCCCATGCCTCAAAGGATATGATTATATTTTCCAATTCTAGCTTCTAACATTAAAAATTTCAGAGCATCCCACATTGTCCAATATAGAAAATTAACTAGAAAATAACTGCCACAGAGCTATCTCTGCACAGTATGTAAGATATTTGCCACTGAAGTAATTTTAATTAAAAAACAACACAACAAAACAGGAGTTCCACAGCACACAATATGAAAGGGAAAAAAGAGAATGAAAACTGGGCAGAGAGCAGAGCAGAACACAGCACCTGAAAGTCAGGCAGGTATGAGGGCTGGGCCAAGTGTGAGCTGGGATAAAAGGTCTGGAGGCGGTGTGTGGATGTGAGGGCCCAGGAGCACTGTGGCAGGGCTCAGCAGGGGCTCATGCCAGGAGGCAGAAGAGAATTAAAATGACTGATAAGGTGCTGTTACTCGGAGATAAACGTTAATGAAAAATGTGAAAAGACAGTACAAAACCTTTTGCAATCTACCCAGGCAGGGCTTGAGCATGAGTCTCTAAGCATCCTTATTTCTAAAACACTTGGGAATGTGGAAGCAATGGAATAGAAATATCCCAACCTGTTTCCTCAAAAGACTGACATCCTGCTGGCACTCATCTTCTTCCCAATGTGTCTGCAAATACTCTTTAACATTTTCTTTGATGTAAGGAAATAAAACGTCCTGGTAAAAGAGTAAAAGAAAAAACAAGAATTAGCTTTAGTCATTTGCATGGGATCAAGTTTTTCAACAATCTCACCTTAGCTAATTGTAGCAAATAAGCCACTGAAAATATGAGAATTGCAGCTGTGGATACATGAGTGAGAGAAACCAAAAAAAAAAATAAACAGATAAGAAATCAGTGAATTGCCCTGGCTAGTTTGGCTCAGCGGTTAGATCGTCAGCCCACAGCCCAGGGACCCAAAGCCCACAAACTGAAGGGTCTTGGGTTCAATTCCTGGTCAAGGGCATGTACCTGAATTGCAGGTTCGATCCCCAGCCACAGTCAGAGTTGTGCAGGAGGCAACCAACCAGTGTGTGTCTCACACTCAATGTTTCTCTCTCTCTATCTGCCTTTTATCACTGTTGATGCTGATAATTTGTTCAGGTTCTTTTTGAGTTGGTCTGATTGTTCCTCCCCTTCTTTAATTTGTTTTTCTTTCCATCTTCTAATGCTTTTGGATTCACACCTCCTAGTATTGTGTGTGTGTGTGTGTGTGTGTGTGTCCTCTAATCTTTTGGTTGAGGTGGTTACTTTTATTATTGTTGACGTTGATATTTGGGGGGGGGGGTTCTTTCTGGTCTGGTTTTGCTTTGTTTTGTTCTGTCAACACCTGCATAATGGTTGGCACGACAAGGTCAACAGGATCAGGGTTGAGACTCATAGTTAACAACCCTGAGGACTGAGCCCACCCACAAAAGGACAGAAGTAATCAGGACTCAAATTTAGCCCGGCCAGTGTGGCTCAGTGGTTGAGCATCAACCCATGCACCAAGAGGTCACCAGTTCTATTCCCAGTCAGGGCACACGCCCAGGTTATGGGCCCAATCCTCAATGGGCGGCATACAGGAGGCGGCCAATCAGTGTTCTCTCTTATCGACGTTTCTATCTCTCTCCCTTCCTTTCTATCTAAAAGCCGTAAGAAAAAAGAATTTTTTAAAAACCCAAATTCAACAGGAGAGTCGATAAAGCACACACAAGGGTCATTCGTAGAGCGCTCAGATCAGAAAGTCAAGGAGACTACTCTACTGGGTCCCACAAAAAGGCCACCACACCAAATCTGGGAGGCATAACAGTCTTATCTGATATACAATGACATGCCTATGAGTCCCAATCCACCTCACCTGGCCCTGAGCTACCAGAAAGCTAAAATGGTGAGACAAAGAAACAACCCCCATATGAAAGAAAAGGAGGAATCACCAGAAAAGGAACTACATTAAATAGAAGCAAGCAGTTTGTCAGATAAATATTTCAAAGCAGCCCTGGTTGATTTGGTTCAGTGGTTAGAGCATCGGCCTGCGGTCCACAGAGACCCGGGTTCGGTTCCTGCTAAGGGCATGTGCCTCGGCTGCAGTTTGTCCCGGCCCTGGCTGGGTTGTGTGGGTGGCGGCCACTCAATGTGTTGTCCCTTTCACGTCGATGTTTCTCTCTCTCTCTCCCTCCTGCTCTATCTGAATAAAAAATGGAAATATGTCCTTGGGTGAGGATTCAAAATATATATATATATATATTTCAAAGCAACGGTTTTAAGGATGCTCAAACAACTTAGTGAGAAATATAAGCAACTTAATGAGAACTGCACCACAATAAAAAAAAGTAGAAGTTATGAATGAAAATCAAGTGGAAATTAAAAATGGCATAGCTGATATACAAAATACCTTAGAAGGATTCAATAGTAGATCCGAAGAAGCTGAACACCGAATCAGCGAAGTTAGAAGACAAGGTAGAAAAAAAGCACTCAATTAGAGCAGAAAATAGCAAAAAATAAATAAAAAGCAAAAGAGTTTAAGGGAGCTTTGGGACAACAAGAAATGTAACAACATTTACATCATAGGGGTCCAGGAGGAAAGGAATCGAAGAAATGAATAGAGAACTTGTTTGAAGAAATAGTGACAGAAAACTTCCCTAACCTGGTGTAGGAAAAAAACCCACACAAGTCCAGGAAACACAGTCTCAATCAAGATGAACCCAGAAAGACCCACACCTTAACATATCATAATTAAAATGGAAAACATTAAAGAAAGGATCTTAAAGCTGCAAGAGAGAGACAAAGTTACCTACAAGGTAGCTCCCAATAGAAACACTGCAAACCAGAAGGAGGTAGCGTGAAGTATACAAAGTAATGAAAAGCAAGGGTCTAAATCCAAGACAACTCTATCCAACAAAGCTTTCATTCAAAATTGAAGGTGAATTAAAGAGCTTTGCAGAAAAACAAGTCTAGAGGAATTTACTACCACCAAACCAGTACTGCAAGAAATGCTAAAGGGACTGTTGTAAGAAGAAGAAGAAGAAATATAGAGACAGGAACATAGGCATAAAATAAAAATGGCAACAAATAAGTAGGTATTAATAACCTTACATGTAAACAGCTTAAGCACTCCAATCAAACGACACAGGGTAGTTGACTGGATAAGGAAATATGACCCATATACATGGTATCCACAAAAGACCCACCTCACAACAAAAGATTCACACAGGATGAAAGTGAAGGGATGGAAAAATATTTTTCCATGCAAATGGAAATGAAAAAAAGTTGACGTAGCAATACTCATATAAGACAGACTTCAAAATGAAGGCTGCAATAAGAGTCAAAGAAGGTCACTATATAAAATTAAAGGATGGATCCAACAAGAGGATATAATCCTGTTACACAGATATGCACCGAATATTGGAGCAACAAAATATATTTAAAAACTGCTGGAGGACCTCAAGGGAAAGACTGGCAACAATACAATCATAGCAGGGGACTTGAAGACCCCACTGACATCACTGGCTAGATCGTCTAGAAAAAAAATTAACAGAGTCCCTAAACAACACACTAGATCAACTAGATTTAATTAATATTTATAGGATATTTCACCCCAAAGCTGGAGAATATACATTCTACTTAAGTGCACACAGAACATTCTCAAAGATAGACCACATGTTAGGACACAAACTAAATCTCTACAAGTTTGAGAAGACCGAAATCCTATCAAGCATCTTCTGAGATCACAATGACATAAAACTAGAAATCAATTACAATAAAAACACTCAAAAACATTCATTCCTGGTCAGTTTGGCTCAGTGGTTAGAGTGTAGGCTTGTGGATCAATGGGTCGCAGGTTTGATTCCAGTCAAGGGCATGTACCTTGGTTGCAGTTTGTCCCTGGCCCTGGTAAAGGTTGTGCAAGAAGCAACCAGTAGATGTGTCCCTCTCACATCAATATTTCTCTCTCCCTCCCTGACACTCTATCTGAAGATAAATGAAAATATCCTCGGATGAGGATTAAAAAATAAGAATAAAAACATTCAAACACATGGAAACTATAAAGTATGTTATTAAACAATGAATGTGCTACCAATGAGATCAAGAAAAAAATAAAATCTTTCTGGAAACTAATGAAAATGAACACACAACAACACAAAATCTATGGGACACAGTAAATGCAGTCCTCAGAGAGAAGTCCATAGCAATACAAAGAAACAAGAAACAAGAAGTTCATAGCAATACAAAGAAGCAAGAAAAAAATTCTAATAAACTATTTAACCCTACAACTTAAAGATTTAGGAAGAGAACAAAAAGAAAAACCCAGAGTTAGTATAAGGAATTAATAAAAATCACAAAAGAAATAAATGACAGACTAAAAAAAAATACAAAAGATAAATGAAACCCAGAGCCGTTCTCTGAAAAAATAAGGTTGATTAACCTTTAGCCAGACTCACCAAGAAACAAAGAGAGAGGACCCAAATTAAAATCAGAAACAAAAGCGGTGAAGTAACAACGGACACCACAGAAATACAAAGGATTATAAGAAAATACGATTAACAATTATATGCCAACAAATTCAACAACCTAGGTGAAACAGACAATTTCCTAGAATCATAGTCTTCCAAAACTCAACTGGGAAGAGTCAGAAAACCTGAACAGACTTGTAACAATTAAGGAAATAGAAGCAGTAATCAAACTCCCAGCAAACAAAAGCCCTGGTCCGGACAGCTTCGCCAGGAAGTTTTACCAAACATTCAAAACAAGAACTAACACCTATTCTCAAACTATTTCAAAGAATCCAAGAGGAAGGAAGACTTCCAAGCTCTTTTCATGAGGTCAGCATAATCCTAATCTCAGAACCAGATAAAGACACTACAAAGAAAGAAAATTACAGGCCAAGCCCTGGCCGTTTTGGCTCAGCGGTTAGAGCGTTGGCCTTCGGTCCAGACAGACCCAGGTTTGGTTCCCACTAAGGGCATGTGCCTCGGTTGCAGTTTGTCCCCAGCCCTGGTTGGGTTGTGCCCGAGGGGGGGGGGGGGGCGCGAGCGCGCGCAGCCACTCAATGTGTCCCTTTCACGTCGATGTTTCTCTCTCTCCCTTCCAATCTATCTGAACAAAAACTGGAAGTGTCCTTGGATGAGGATTAAAAAAAAAAAAAATTACAGGCCCAAATCCTTGATGAATATAGATGCTAAAATCCTCAGCAAATTTTTAGCAAATCAAATCCAGTAATATATTACAAAAATTAAACACCATGACCAAGTGGGATTTACCCCAATGATGCAAAGCTTGCACAATATTTGATATACCACATAAACAAAATGAAAGATAAAAAGCAGATGATCATATCAATAGATGCTGAAAAAGCATTTGGTAAAATCCAACACCCATTTTTGATAAAAACTCTTGGCAAAGTGGGAACAGAGGGATCATACCTCACCATAATCAAGGCCATATATGACAAACCGACAGCCAGCATCATACTCAATGGGCAATAACTAAATGCATGTCCCTTAAGAACAGGAAAAAGACAGGGATATCCACTTTGGCCACTCTTATGCAACACAGTACTGGAAGTCTTAGCCACAACATACCTGAAGAAAAAAATAAAAGGTATCCAAATTGGAAAGGAGGAAGTGAAAGTGTCATTATTCGCAGATGCGCCGGGATATTGTACACAGAAAACCCTAAAGATGCCACCAAAAAACTACTA